CATAAAGAAGACAAAACACTCAGGTCTATCACAGGTGAAATCTGCACGCAGGTATCTATCTGTCTGCACACTGAGTTCTGCTTGGTTTCCCGTCAAAGGTGAATTGGGTAATTCACCCTGTAATGAGTAGGAGTGCTACACAGCAACTTTACTTACTGACTCTATGACACTGTAATAGTTGTCTGGGATACGAGGAACTGTATGTCATACCGTGTCTCAAAATATATTTCCTTTCATGTTTCTCACTCTCTATTTGTTATTGCGTGCTTGAACTTGAGAGATGGTTTGTCATCTATTGAGTTTACCGACACAAGAATTCAAATGATTTGTAGTCATTTGTGACTACAAACCTGCGACAGTCTGGTGACTTGTCCAGGGTGTACCATATCACTGGTCAATCTATCGACCAAATTGCTATAATTTCCTTTTGTGTTGTATTTATATTCTTTGTTTTGTATTTAATTTGTATTTTTTTGTATTTTGTGTATGCTTACTGTGTGCCACATTTTTGCCTGTGAGCTGCTGGTAACTATAATTTCCTGAGGGAGTCTTCCCAAGGGATCAATAAAGTCAAGTCTAAGTCTAAGTCTAAGTCTCTCTACCCCGCCTCTCGCCTGGAACATTGGCTGGAGATAGACACCAGCACCTCCTGACCCTGATCCTCTTGGATGAGTTGTTGTCTCATGTAGCCAAAACGTTAAAGCATTGAGTGAAGGGTGTTAGAAAATGGATGGGTGGATGGATGTGACTACAAATCATGAGACTTTTGCTTCCATGTGGAGAAATTTTGACCCACTGTTCTTAGGGAACTTTGACTAGGACACTTTCAAACCTTGATGTTTGTTTTTTGAGCCATTCAGATGTGAATTTGCTGCTTTACTTCAGGTCATTGCTCTGCTGCATAAACCAAGAGAACAGAAAATTTCTTCCAGATTTTCTGGTAGAAAGGGGAATTTATGAGCACAATTTCTACTTTGCAATATGTCCTGGTCAAATTTAATTTCTGCTTTGTTTTGGGAGTGCTTTTGTTGTTTTACTGACATTTTTATTTTATATTCTAAATAATACAAAACAAACTTTCCAGATATTTCCCAACGTCTTTGTGGTTAGGTACTTTTGGGCAAATTTGAAGCATTTGTTTTTCTCAGCTGTGATTTTCACATTGAAACTCTTGATGCCCTTTTTTACCTACATGAATTATGGTCTTAGCTGAGCCAGATGAGGCTTACTGGACTTTAACTGTTGTTCTGTGTTCTTTAGTGATTCTCTTGGATGAGTTGTTGAAGCACTCTTGGAGCCATTTCGGTAGGAATGGTGGAAAAGTTTTCTACTACTCTGAGTTTACATTGCAACCCATCTGAACTGATAGACTGAAGAGTTTGTTTCTCAATCTTTTGTGAGTTTCTTCAGATTACAGCACACATTACTTTTTGTGGTCTCTTGGCCAACTTCAGGTTGCCGGACAGGTTCTGTTTTGGTCATTGGTCATGTCACAGTTTCTAGTGTTTTCAATGCCAATTGTAAACACTATAAATGGGGTTAAGAGTTCAACTGATACAAAGAATGTTTATTTGATCTTGTGAATCAGATTTATAATAGATTTACAACTTTTTTTTCTGTTGCCATGGTGACAAGTTATTTGGTTGTTTGATTGCATACTTTATGCAAAATATGCACAACATATTTCGCACAAAAATATGTTTTTTGCGCAAAATATGTCCTATATTTTTTGTTTGCTTTAGTGCAATTCTGCTAGCGACATATTCTTTGTCGTGTGTAAACGTTGAAAGATTTTAGGATGAGTTTGAACAGAGGTTAAGATTTGGGCCGGGATATTTGAGTTGGGCTGGTTTTTGTGTTTGTTTGGGAGGAAACAGTCAGTCATCTGGCAACCTTGTTCGGACAGTGTTTTTTTCTTTAATAAGTGACTTATCTCAACAGGGTCAAATATTTGTTCATAACATTTTAGCTGTTTCTTCAGATGTTACCGGTTTGTCCAGAAAATAATTAAGCACATGGGAATAAAAAAAAAAAAGTTTAAGGAATTTCATAAGGCTTGCTTGTGAGAAAAAGTCATATGACAGAACTGCGAGAGACTGTCTTGGTTAACAGTGAATGCAGTGATTTATTCTTGTGATACATCACTGCAACCTGAACCAGATCTAAACACGTAGTTGAATCTTATCAGTCTCTGACAGTAAAAAAAAACAAAAAAAAACAGGGAGACACATAGGGGACGTGAAGGAGATGATTGTCTCGTGCAGCCAAAACATTAAAGCATTGAGTGAAGCTGAAAAAGCAGTGGTGATGAGGGAAAACTATGGGAGGAGCAGGAGAAAAGTACATTTTCCGCTGTGGTTTGTTATACCACCGCTGAGTGACTAAACAGAGAGATGCTTTGAACTAAATGCTAATGTCAGCAAGCTCCGTGTTTAAAGACATAAACATGCTAGCAAATGCTAATTGGTACAAAGCAAACCACATTTGGGGTCGAATGAAGAATGTTACCAATTTATACTAGCCCCTGAGGAGCACAATGTTTGTATTTAACACTGATTAATTTCATGTGTCTTCTGTTACATAAAGCAGTAAAACATAAGATCTGTTAGCACTTAGTGCCTTTACTAAATATACATCAAATACTAAAGTCCAATAATACTACTTGTTGTTTTATCAGATAGTGTTTACTTCAATTCCTGTAATATACAAGAAAAAATAAACCAAAAATGTATGTTGTATTGTTTCTTATCACACATTTTGAGTAAAGTTGCTTGGGAGATGCTGGTAAATGGGCTTGTGTCCAGAACTGTTTTAGTGTGCTTACGTTTGTGTCTTCTTGTTCAATAAATGGTCATCTTAACATATTAGAACCGGTCTAACATGTGTGTCTAACATATTTCAGAATAAAAAGAAAACATTTTCTTGTTTTAGAAGTTCCCAACAACTCCAAAACAGCATGCACAAGCAAAATAAATATCCTATAGAAAATGCTATTCATTTTCATTCTGATTAAATGACACATTTTATGATTTTGTGCCCAAAATGAAAAAGTTTGGGCTTCACACCTTATCTTCTGTGCATCTGGTCTGCATGTTCACAGCATGACTTGACTAAGAACCAGGCGTGTTTCATCTAGCCTGAGGTAGTGTAATAAATTTCATCAAAAATAATTATGTTGCATTGCACAAGAAGAAGAAAAGAGTACATGCAGTTACTGAGGTTTCACTCTTTTGGCGTCACCTTTTCTGAGCACTAATCCCAGCCAGATACCAAACCCCTTACACTTCGTTTCCAGAACTTAGTTTTACAAAGAACTTTAATTTAGAGCTTAACATCGTGGCACACATGACTCTCCTAGGCTAACAGTAAACAAGTGTGTGGTCCCTCCTCACAAAAGCAATAATAAAAGATTATAGAGTTTTTCTTAAATCTGAAAACTTTTGTTCTATTTAAACTGTTGGATTAGTTTATAAGAACACAGAAACACAACAATAAATACGTTCTGTGTTTATTTAAGAGCTGTGCTGGTGTGCCTTTGCAACCACAAGCTTAAGTGTATTTCATCAGGATTTTTTGATGAACTAACAGTAATGCATAATGGCAAAGGGAAAAAAAAATGTTGCGTGCTTTTCAAATGTTTTTACCAATGAAGATCTAAAAAGTGTGGCATGCAGTTGTATTCAGCATCTCTTTGTGTGTAAACATCCATCCACCATTTTGATATTAATATCACCCTCACCAGAGCAGCCAGTCAGTTTGTTTGATTTGCTTTTTACAACTGTAAGCCTCAGACTGCATATCAATGTGTTCTGAAAGACATATAATATTTTTTTCTTCTTTTTTTTAATACCATGTTCAAGTGCACACTTTCATGTCACTAGGTGTCAGAAATGCTCCATTTGTTGTTTTACAAGTTCCATTCATATTAATAACTACAAGAAGAAGAAGAGGTGGCCTGAAACTATTGCACCAAAAGGCCTTCCAATTTTTATCATGAAGGAGAAAAAACTGTAAGCAAACTTGTTTGCACTATGTGGTCTACTTTAAAATTGTTGGCTTCAAGTGGATAAGTTGAAAAAAGTTAGCATAAAGATACATAGAGTTTTACAGAGTTAAGCTACACTAAGCTAAGCAGGCTAATGGAGTGATTTTGTTGTGCCCTAAGTCACTGCAACAGGAGAATACTAAGTTTTTTTCTGTAAATAAATAGTTGGGTTTTTTTCAGCTTTGGCCCATTGTTCATTATAATTTAAGATTGTGTATTTAAATAAAATTGCAATTTTACTGTGCTCTTCTGCAAAGCCTCTGCATAGGTTTTTATACAAGTGAAGTAATTAATAAACTGGTTTCAGGGATCATTCTCCAGATAACAACCTCCTAAATCTGTTCCTCTGTTCATTATAAACCAGACATACCAGACATGTTTCAGTGCTTTCAGTTAAGGTTGGTTAAGGTTGTGTAAATCTCCTAAAACCGGAGGGAATACTCTTCCCTGGTACTTTTCTTTTTCTTGGTACCATAGTGCCACTTGGGAAGAAGAATAAACAATTTATATAAAAAAAACAGCTTAGCAATTTTTACTCCATAAAAGGATTAGAAAAGAGAAGGTTTCCATCATTTCATTCCTTTGTCACAATGGGGTCGCATGAGACGAGGGAGTCTGTAACAAACACGCATGGACGCATTCCTCACCCCCCACTCTCAGAGGCACTCATAAACACACACTGTAACGACCTTATGTCCCGCTCTGCTCCACGACATCACCTGCAGAGTATGCAGGAACTTTATCTTTAAAGTATGTGATCAAAAGCAGACATGTTCACCTCCGGTAGAAAACAAACACACTCAACTAGCACCAGCATGCCTCCTGCTGCTGCCCAGCCAATTAACATGCAGAGCTGCATTCATCTTTGTGGTGACTGGCCCCCGCCTCACATCCCTCTCCAGACAGCTTAAAAAACTCTCTTCAAAGAAAGAAAGACAGGAACACAAATGCCTTGTTGGAGGACTTCTTGAGAAAGAGAATTCACTGTGAAAAAAAACAGAGTATGACGATAAAAAGACGGGAGGGAGAGGCAGCCACTCAGGGGAGAAAGAGAGGGGGTGTTGAAGAGGAGGAGGAGGAGAGAGTCTGAGAAACAGCTTAAAACAGTGAGAACTGCAGACATTCGTGAGCACATGGAAAGAACCAGAGCAGCGGGAACAAAGAACTTTAAGAAAACAAACTAAGCATCATTGAAAGGTAGAGTACTTTTACAACTTTTCATTCATTTTATTATAAATATCTTCTCTTAACCAGCTGCAAAGCAGTTGCATATTTTGTTTTGTTTTTTCTAAAGGTTCAGCCATAAGTAATTGCTTTTAAGGACACACAAAGAACTATCATGCCTGCTAAAGCTCATTTTGATTTAACCAAGTCATAAAATACTGTTACTTGTTTGCTCTTGAAGTTTCGGGCTCCCACAGACCTCATCTGGCTTTCTGCCAGGAGCAAATGGAAGGGCTGATCTGTGTCACCCCAATAGTTTCCAGCAGTCAGATTTATTTATCTTACGGTGTTTACAGGATGGAGACCAGAACATTGCAGATGTCTGGGTGTATTTAAAGGCATCTCTTAGCAGAAAGTGGACTTGAAAATTCCCCCATCCCCTATTAATCCCCTACTGTTTTTTTTGTTTTTTGTTTGTTGTTTTCAATTTTGAGATCAAACTGTGGTCAAGGAAGAACAAAAAAGAAAAAAAAAGGTCAAGATGTGTCTAATCAGATTAAATGTTATCTAGAAGCAAAGGTTTAGAGGCCTAACAAACCATCACCCAGTGAGGAACTTGAAAGTTCTCTCATAACCTAATTAGTCTTCTAGTAATTCACCACAGTGTCGGAAACAAACAGAAACCAAAACATTAAAATGCCAGCTCCATTCTGTAGCATTTGGAAGGGAAAATGCAAAAGCTAAAATTTTTAAATGGCAAAGATCAAAGTTTGAAAGCGATGACCTGTTGGTGAACATAACCTGTGATTTATGCTCACCAACGTCAGGTTGCTTCCTTCATGCCCAACGTTCCACCTGCTTCACAATCCTGGGACAAAATAGTGTCTCTAATGGAAAGAAGAGAAATATCTCCTTCCTTCTTGTTTTTCAGAGCTCAAAAACATTTACTGCATAGGAAAAGTGCTCAATAGTCTTAGGTCTTTCAGCTGTCAGAATTTGCTTTGCTGTGACTTGACAATCTTAAAATTACGGTACTATTCTTTATACCTTGATTTTTACAAAGTAGTTGCATTATCTGTTAAAACTGGTACTGATATGACATGGATAACTTTATGTTATCCTTGGTCACAATAATGTGAGTGGTCTATTTTTGCATTCTTTTTCCAGAGACATGGGATCACTTTGTGGGAACCTGGCTGTACTTCTCCTCTTCCTCTCACCTCTAATGCACTCCCACCTCTCTGCTCATGCTTCTACATCTTCCCCACCCGTCACTCGAAAGAAGATCAGAATTATGAAAGACTTCACCTTGGTTAACGTCAGCACTGATTATGATGACTACAGTATTGTTCCTGAAGTGGTGCCCTCAGTTAAAATTCCCCGTTTGTACAATGAAGTCGGGACTACAGAGTGTAACTATGATTCCTGCCTGGAAAATCAGGAGTCCTGTGAAAAGATCCAAGCCAGAGAAGGGTGTCTCTGCCCTGGGAGGAGTGATGAGGACAGGCGTCCTCATGCTCCACGTATAAAAGCCCTGCAGCCAATCTCCACAGGGGAAAACGCAGGGAAGATAGAGGTGTGGTGGTGCGCTCCTGAGTCAGTTGTTTCCTCCTACAAGGTGATTGTAGAGGGAAGTGGCAACGATTTGGAGTTTGGAAATGGTGCCCGACGAGGCACGCTGGGATATTTGGAGGTGGGGACAAAGGTTTGTGTGGAAGCAATAAACAAAGCAGGACACAGCAGTAACTCGGACTTCTCCTGTAAGCGGTACGAACGCTCTGAATCTTTGGAGCTCAAACTGCTGGCTGGGGTCATAGGAGGAGGAATTGTCTTAATTCTGCTTCTTATTATAGTAGTTGTGGTCCTCTGTAGGAGAAAAATATGTCAGAAAGCACAGCGGGACTCAGTCAGTGGACTGGGAAATCCCACTTACAAATCAGAAAGAGTATCATGATCCAGACAAAAGAAATGAGGACAGTTGAATCCAGTCAAGTTAATTAATAACAAAAGATTAATAGTTTTTAATGGTGTGTCTTATAACGAACACATGGTTTGAACTCCTGCTTCAAAGAATCTGCACACAATCATGCAAAAATCAGTGAAATATGACTAACATTTGTTGTTTTGTTGTTAGTTTTACAGGTTTGTTTGCAGGCGAATTAACCTTAGTCGATTAATTTTACAATATTTTGTTGTTATTTTATTGTTAAGCTTACATATTAATTGTGTTTTTTCTAGAGAGCTGACTGAAATTGTTTTAATAAAATTATTTTTATAAAAGTCGGCGTATGAGTGATTTGATTTCTGTGAAAATGGCATTGCAGTGTTCATTTATTTGTTTGTGTACATAATCATTTAACATAACTTAAAAGATTGAGCTCTGCATAAACTGGGGTATTTTGCTTCACATCCTGATGCACACTCACATGCACCATTATAGTTCTCTAAAAATGGGTTTTGACTGGATTTTAAAAAATGCGTATATAAAATGCAGGACATTTTAAATTAAAAAGTGTTTCAGTAATTCATTTTAACCCCTTAAAGATGGGATATTAAACTTTTATCTTTTCTTTTCATGGTTTTTACATATTTGTTAAAACTGTCATTATGTGCTGACATGAGATAAAGCTCTGGATTTTTAGATTAAGTTCAGGGTCCCTCCAGAAACTCCTCTCTTTTCACACTTTAAACGGTTTGTTTTACTCTATTTTTATTGTCAGGTAATACCATCAGACTTGTTGCGGCTTTTAATTCCCTTCACAATGAATAAACAGTTGTTTTCCTTTATGATCTAATTTATTTTCAAGCCTTTCCAATGAATCCAGAACAGAACTATAATAGAACTATAATATTTTGAAAGTCTTCTCAAGGTGTGCCAGAGCATAGAAAGTACCACCCACTTTCTGTATAGGAGCCAATAATGTGTCAGTAAACAAAATGAGGAAGAAGCTCATTTTCACAGCGTCGCTCTTTGACCAGGATGGGAAACACAAGTAAGAAAATTTCATGTACTGTAACAGATATTATATCCAATTTAACACTGACCTAAAACAACGTGTAGACTTCAATGCAGTTTCAGATTGTTAGAATATTTCCTCATAATATCAAAACCTTTAAATGTTCATAAAATGCTGCTCTCATCCTTCATGGAGTGACTCAGCACTTTAGATAAGGTAGAACACAGCGCCGACCGGATCCAGTGGGAGCGAGTAAAGCCAGTGTTATAGATCAACTGGTGGCTAAATTAGCTGGTGAAACCTGTGCACACCGCGGGTGTTTCTAAATTGTAGGTGGCTGTGTTGACGCCTGTTGAAAAATGCTACTATGTGACAAAACCGTTTTCACAACTTTACTATAAATCCCATTTGACGCAAATATGTTTAAAGTTGCTTGTGAAAAGTATGGTTCAAAACAAGTTTCAACAGAGCAGCGTTCAGTGCGCTTCGAAAACACCGCATTGGTGGATAATGAGTTACACGATGGCGTTTAAAATAGAGGAATATCAAGTAATGTCGATAACTTATCGACGATAAGTTATACTGCAATAAAATCTCATCTAAATGAAATAAAGTTAACTGCCAATGTTGTAGTTGGTGGTAAATCCAAATTGACAAGCCAAAGTTATAATAATAAAAGTTTCTACATTATACTGTCAGACACCACCAAAAGATTATGAGCCATAGCTACAGTATTTGTCTGTGTGTTTTCTACTGGGAAATACACTTAAAAAACAAAACAAGCCGCATTCATATTAACTAGTGACAGTCAAACGGGGTCCTCAACGCAGATGTTTGTAAAACATTAGGTGGCTGTGTCGTTTCCTGATCAAAACGTGATCAGGAAACTTAAATAAAAAATAGAAAATGTCTTTCTCTTTGGTCTCTTCAGAACAATAATCTTTATTTGCATGTGACGGAATATTCAAAAATATATTGAAATATCACCTAAATATACCACACAAAAGAATATTCTTTTTTTTTTTAGAAAATAAAATAAACGGGTCCAAAATGATGCTATGTTCAATACTATTGGGGAGCCTTTTTGTACAGCCGAGAGCAACTGAATGGCTCATATCAGATTTTGTTATCCATTGATCAACAGTAGGTGCTTCCGCAGAGAGTAGTTTTGTGTCCAACACTTAAACTAGTTTTTTTTAAGTGGTTGATGTCGTTTTCTCAAAGTTTTGAAATGTTTTGGGTTTTTCTCCATCAATTTTTTTTAGTAAAATACGACGAACTGAAAGCTCTTATAGAAAGCAACAAGGAACTGGTTCTGATCGATGTCCGCTCCGATGGTGAGGTGGCTGGAGGAATTATCCCTGGTGCCATTCACATTCCCAGTAAGAACTAATTTATAACAATTTACTCTCCATGGACTGTAGAAAAAGGATAATGATGTATACTAAAAGCAGAAGTATTACAAGGTGTGCTGTTTTACATGCAATGTGCCATGTTGAGTGAGGATAGATATTCTATTTTTCAGGTTCTGTATATTTTGCATCTGTTGCTCGTCTTCATACTGCAGAACCTGGCTAATAGGCTGTTGTCTGATCTGCCTTTTATCTCAACAGTTCACACACTAGACACTGCTCTTAGCATGAACCCAGAAGACTTTAAAGCCAAGTATGGCATAGTGAAGCCACCACTGAATGTTCCTCAAATGGTGTTTTACTGCCAGTCAGGCGGGCGATCAATGATGGCAACAGGAAAGGCGGTCAACAAAGGATATACTAAGTAAATGAACTACTTTTGTTGTGTTTTTGTTTATCAGAATGTCTGTCACTTCTATTTGTGGTCAAAGGAAAGGGGTTTGTCCTGTAACCAGTGGGTTGCCAGCTCAAATTCCCACTTCCGCCAGTCATCATGTCCCTTCACTTAGCTTCCCTGGTGGTGGTGGACAGACGGTCAGGTGGCACAGATTGAATGGCAGCCTTGTTTCTGTCAGTCTGCCACAGGCCAGCAGTGGCTACAATGTAGCTCACCACCATCAGTGGGTGAATGACTGATTGTTGTGTAAAGCACTTTAGTGTTATTTCACTGTCCTTACTGTTTTAAAATACTTTTTGACTTTCACCATACAGACTGTGATCAAATAAATATTGCATTGTTTTTATGTAATTATGGCAACTCCTGATTCTGTGCTTTCTTTGTCCTATTCAGTGCACGTAATTATGCTGGAGCCTACAGTGAATGGTCAAGAAAAGAAAGGAAATTATCTTTTTAAGGAGAAGCCTCATATTGTGCATTATATTCATACAAGTTTTGCAAATATTTTGATGTTGTTGACTCAGAAACTGTAGTCTGAAGTTAAAGCGCACAATAAATTAACATGAAATAAAATGTTTTTTATTCTTAAAACTGTTTTTGTGAGATTACTGGAGTGGTTTAATAAAAAAAAACTGTTCCAATTCTGCCTGGTGTATAAATAAAGTCATAAATGCATGTAAATAAATGTACAGTCTAAAAAGCTTGATTTTTTTTCTTTTTCTTTATATTAATGTCTGAAACTATGCAGCAGGTCACATTACTCTCTGTTGGTGGTTAAAGACAAGGAGTTTCAGGAAATACAACTGCTTGATATTTTAGGGATTGGGTCCCCTGTGGTCTGAAGAGAGAATAAGTTGTAGGGCATCATCAACCGTGTAAAAAATTTTAGATGTACAATTACTAAAGATTTCAATAATGTATTTTTTTTTTTCATTTGTCTAAGAGAAAGATAGATTAATTTGATGGATGTACCTTCAGATTTGTTACTTTCACAAACATGCATATCAATTGTGATACTTTTTAGATTATTGAACTTTGGCACTTCTGGCTTTCCATATGTTCTGCTTTCAAAATTGTAGTTTGGACTTCTATTTATGTGATATGTTTAGTTTGTCGAATTTTCCTTTCCATTTATGCATAAAATCAGAGAACACAAAGATGAGAAGTCCAGTTGTAGTCTGTAGCAGACTGCACTTATGCTATAAGGTATAATCCTCATCTGTTCAATTTGCACAATTTATCAGCCTTATGCTGCACACCGTAATACACCTTCACATACCCACTATTGCAAGTTTTATGTTTATTTAGAAAGGGGTGTTAACTGGACAAAAACCTCTGATAACAGTTTAACAACATATATGTATAACATACAAGTAGATTACATGTTTAATCTGTTAGGCAAGTAGATTACATGTTTAATCTGTTAGGCAAGTAGATTACATGTTTAATCTGTTAGGCATATAACCTAAAATATATGTTAGGTTATGCATATACAGCTTACAGCTTAATTTATTGGCTTGCTTCCACAACCTTTTGCTAAGTCCCACCCACTTTTTGTATACGAACCAATAACGTCTCAGTAAGCAAAATGAGAAAGAAGGTATCACCTTATAGAAAGGCTTAACAGCTCATCTTCACACCTTCACCAAGATGGCAAACTCAAGTAAGTATATTTCATTTACTGTAACAGATAACATGCATATTCATCTTACTTTTTAATGTAAAAACATACAATAATACTGAAAATTTGTTATGGATATACCTCCATAAAAGAAGTTGTCAGTTTTAAAAGCTGGTTGTCAAAACTTTTAGTACTTGTCCTAATTGATGTAAATGTTACATAAAGGAAATGCCCATATAATACTTCTCTCATCTTTTTTGGATGACTCAGCATTTTAGATAACGTACAATATAAAGCCTCCTGGATCCATTGGGAGTTGCATTACGGTTTTTTGCCAGAGCATCACAAACCAGTTAAAATATTTGTAACGCCCTAACATGTTGCATTATCTATGAGGGCATCTAGACCTCATAGATAATGATACCAAATCCCAGAAACAAGTTGTGCGATAAGCAGAATGCACCATGCATGCTGGCTTTATTCATTTTTATTTTCTTACAGATTTCTAGATTGAGGCTTTTTGTCATCGTCACATTAATCATTCATAGCTTTCAGCAGCTCAGGTAACATGAGCTCTGCATTTTTATTTTAATGTATATTTAAATAATCCCTAGCATGTCTGTGAACATTACCTCCCACTGATGAGCGGTTGATACCTGACGCCTTCATTTGAGGTCAGCCATAAGGTAGCCTTTATGTACAGCCGAAAGCAACTAAATGGGCCGGAGCTCGGATCAGATGGCATGTTCTGTAACTCATCGCACAAACAGATGGTGCTTGCACAGAAAATACAGTTTTGTGTTTTACCTAATTAATCACTTGATCTTGTGCTTTAAAAAATGGTAGATGCAGTTTTCTCAAAGCCTTGAAATATTTTGGATGTTTTTTTTCTAGTCAAATACGACGAACTGAAAGCTCTTATAGAAAGCAACAAGGAACTGGTTCTGATCGATGTCCGCTCCGATGGTGAGGTGGCTGGAGGAATTATCCCTGGTGCCATTCACATTCCCAGTAAGAACTAATTTATAACAATTTATTCTCCATGGACTGTAAAAAAAGGATAATGATGTATACTAAAAGCAGAAGTATTACAAGGTGTGCTGTTTTACATGCAATGTGCCGTGGTGAGTGAGGATATTCTATTTTTCAGGTTCTGTATATTTTGCATCTGTTGCTCGTCTTCATACTGCAGAACCTGGCTAATAGGCTGTTGTCTGATCTGCCTTTTATCTCAACAGTTCACACACTAGACACTGCTCTTAGCATGAACCCAGAAGACTTTAAAGCCAAGTATGGCATAGTGAAGCCACCACTGAATGTTCCTCAAATGGTGTTTTACTGCCAGTCAGGCAGGAGAGGGGAGATGGCAGCAGGAAATGCACGGCAAAGAGGATATACTAAGTGAATGGGTTATTTTTGTTGTCTTTTCTGTTTCTCAGAATGTTTCTTGACTCTATTTAGTTAAGGGTATTTTGATTTTGTTATTTAACAGTAAACACCTGTTAATTAAAAATAAGGAACTTGGTTGTATCAAACAATATTAGAATATGTTGCCATTAAATAATGCTAACTTTTCATAGTAAATGTACCTATCCCATCATATATGGAATAAAAACAGCATTTTGATCACTTTTTTGCATAAAATCGAATAATAGTAGATCATATTCAACATTGCTGTTAGTTTCTTTATAGAAGGAAGTAGAAATTCAGAAATAGTTTTGTATTAGGGGTGACAATAGTTTATAATGGAAGGGTTTGCACTGTTGCCAGTGGGTTGCCAGGTCGAATCCTTTTCCCTCTGTCGCAGTCACTGTGTCCTGAAAGATGAGTTGGCTGCAGTGCAGATTACCACCTTCATTGTATGAATGGGTAGATAACTGATTGTTGTCTAAAGTGCTTTGGAGTCCTCAGACTTGATCAAGCTCCAGACAAAGGCAGGCATTTTACCATATTCCCCAGTTTAAGGTTCTTACTATAAAATATTTTTTGACTAATAGTAAGAGATGTGATTAAAATCATGTGTTTGTTTTTTATAATTATGGCAATTCCTAATTATGTGCTTTTTTTGCTTTTTTTTTTGTCAGTACACGTAATTATGCTGGAGCCTACAGCGAATGGTCAAGAAGACAAAGGAAGTGATTTATTTTAAGAAGGAGCCTCACACTGTGCGCTATGTTTATGTAAACTGCACAACGAAAAAGGATAGGTTGATGTTGTTAAGTATCATACAATGAATCACTAAAACTTTAAGGCTTGAATTCATAGTAGATAAGAAATTATAATAAAATCAATTATGTTTACTCTTTAAAGTGTCTGTGTGAGACTTTTGCAGTGGTTTAATTAAAGTTTTATTTTTGCATGATGTCCCAATAGGCTGACTAGAGTATTAAATACCATATTAAGCTTTTTGTTTTATTTTTTGCTATATTCAAGGCTCTATGTTTGGTCCTCTTGTGTTTACCCGCCACACCTTTTACCTCTTGGTAACACCATCTGCCAACAAGGCCTCAATTACCACAGCTTTGCTGAAATTTCCAAATGTGTCAGCTCTGCAAGGCACTCCACCCTCACCCACTGTCTCACTAAAATAAAAACCTGGGTGGAGCAAAACTTTCTTAAACCATGCTATGACTATGAACTATGGCATTATCCTTGTTCAGACACTTCCACCTTCTCTTCATCACCACAATCTTGAAGTTTATTTTGACTCCACCCTCTCCTTTGAGACCCATATCAACGAAATAACGAGAACTGCATTTTTCCACTGAAAAACAATGCAAGACTCTGTCCAGCCATCTCTTTTTTACGTCCCATTGAATCCCATCTAGTAAAGACTTTCAAAAACATCTTCTTCAACTCAAACTCCTGTCCCTCCTCTGCACCCTGGGCTTCAAACCTGGGGCTGACAGAACACTTTCCGTTGCCACCTCATCCTTTGAATCGCACCCCCACAACCGATCCAGGACTGTTCTGACCTCCTCACTTTGAAATCCCTTCTCAAATCCCACCTTTATAAAATTAATTTGAATATTTCTCTGATTGCTTGTTGATGCTATTTTTGTTGTTTTTAATCTTTCTAACTGTACAGCATCTTTGAGTGTTTTGAAAAGTCCTTTGTGAATAAAATCTATTATTGTTACTATTATTATGTCTGGAACTATGAAGTGGGCAAAGAGGGTCATATTAGTCATAAACATATTGCCCATAAATACTGACTTTGAGGAATTAGAGCAGCTTCATGTTTTGTGATGTTACAACCACAAACTTTGATGTATTTTCTTGAGGTTTTGTGTGATAGATCAACACAAGCATCACATAATTATGAAGCATAAAGGAAGGTGTATGGCTACCCAAATCTCTCCAGAAATTCTCAGCTGGATTTAGGCCTGGTCTTTGACCTCACCATTCAAATGTATTCATATGGTCTACTTCAATGTTGGACAACTCCACTGAACCAGTTCCCTGCATGTTAGACTAGTTCCTGCTTCTACAGGCTGAATTACATCCACAGCCAGGCTGACTGACTGCTTTGCCTGGTACCGGGACAGGATAGTCTTAACCGGGCCCCCTGACCCCAGAATTCTTTAAAACTAAGAAAAATGTCCCATAGATATGATTAAGCTTCTCCCTCTGTCTTCTCTTCCATCTTCCGCCCTCAGCTTCGCTTTCCTTGATTTCTGCTCATTGAAGACAGGTGATGCTTCGCGCCTGCGCAGTTCTTGAGAGCTGAGCCAATTGCTTAAAATTGAACTTCTGAATTTAAAATGTTAAGAGAAATACGGCAGGTAAGTACTTGAATAAATTCATTATAGCTTAAACTGGGTATGCGCTAATTGGATTTTTTTTCTAAAAGTTTTTTTAACACGAATAAATGGTTTATTATCGACGCTAATGCTAATGTTAGCATGACGTTAGCTTGTCAATCTGTCCAGGTGTTGAGGCTAATCCAGTTGATGGGAAAACAGAGGAAACAGTCCAGTTTAAAGAATACTGGAGCCCTTTTAGTGCTTCTATGGACCGAAAAAGGCTCGTCCCATCACAGGTTAAACTGCACTGGTAAGATAGCTGCATTTTCTGATCATTTTGATACATGGTGCTAATTTGTCTGGTTTAAATATCCATCAAAACTTTGGAATAGAAGCTAATTATTTTAACTATTACTTTAAGTTTCTCTAAGTTAAGAACAACAAGGGTATAACCCTGGCATTTTATAATCGATTATATAAAGTATGGGGTAAAAATGGTCTGAATATTGAATTATTTTATTTATTTTTCAGCATTTTGATACTTTTGATTAGTTTCCTAGATAGGGAGGTTAAGGTTTCCATACTTTAATTAATCTTTTTTTGTCAAATTGATGAAAACAAAAAAAATCTTAATTATTAAAGAAAGAAATAACTTTTTACACATTTACATCCATTATTCATAAATTCCCACAATTGCAGAACTGTTGTTCCAACTGGGTTCTATAAAATACTTTCATTTATTTACATTTCAATACAAATTTCCCCCTAAATATTTTTTCCCCTAACTCTATACTTTAGTTTGTAAAATAATTAATAAGATAATTTAATAATGATACAGACATGAAGAAAAGTGATTGGAAAAAACAGTCTGAAAGTTTTTCAGACTGTGTGTCATCTTTGAAACTATATGTTCTAGGTACCCCCTATTTCTTAAAATAAATGTATCATCGACAAGGTACAAATTAATACAGACTAATTAAGTGTTAATTTAGATTTTAAAGTAAAGCTGATTTAAGTTTCTAAATAATATTGTCTTTATGTCATGAGCCGACCTCATTGTGTTTCTGTAATAATCCAATAAAGAATAACCAGGATCACTTAATCACTTTAATCACATTTACTCAAAGATCCAGGAAATCTTTGAGATTGGAGTCTGGAGCAGTAACAGACAATGTGGAGAAACTTGTATTTGGTCTTATTTTATTTTATTTTAATTTTTTTATACAGTTCCTCCATTTTCAACATTAACTGTGTTACACAGTTAGACAAAAACTCATTCTAATTGTCATTTTATTCTCCAGTTGCAACTGCTGGTTCCTGGTGTTTTGGAATTGAAATGCACACCCTTCAAGCTGGTATGTAAACACAACAAGAAACACACTGAGTCACAGATTATATTTACTATATCTGTTTTGCATTGATGTGAACAGCTCTGAAAAAGGTCCTGCTTCCCGATGTGTGGCCTTGTCCTGAGCCTGATCCCGAGGAGCTGAGCGCCTTCACAGATCTGTTCGGCTCACTGAAGTTCCTGCTGAATTTTCAGGTAATTCCATTCATTAAAGTACCAATTTACTTAAAAATATTAACTTCTGAAGTAAGTTTGTTGTCATCAGGACATGTATTTATTTTTCTTGTTTATTTAATTCTTTAAAAATGTGATGTTGTTCTTCCAGATGAAAAATCCAGGATATTACTCGTCTAAATGGCAGGCTCACGTTAAAGCGTTTCTTCAGACGTTCGGTTTGACCAATGCTGGTGTATGAAACTCCTCCCTCACTTTTAAATAATATCATGGTGAAGGGAAAAAATATAAATATATATATTTTTTGTATTTATCCAGATAAGAATCCAACTAAAATTTAAAATCTATGGACAGAAATCACAACATGACTTTAGGTAAGACAACATCACAGACTGTAGTAGATCTCTGTTTCAGAGCCTGAGTCTTTATGAAAATACATATTCAGCTCAGTTCAGATAGTTTTATTTATACTGCACCAAATTACAACAAATATGCTAAGGCACAAGATGAACAAATCCAAATAATATTCAGAAACACAAATTAATGTAATCCAAATAAAATGTAATTACGCTTCACGTTTATTGCAATTATAATAAAAAGCACAAAAAAATACATTTCTAATTGTATCTTTTTTTATTCATTCATTTTGTATTAAATAATTATCTTGATGTATGATCTTAAAGTTGTTAAGATATATAATGTTTAACTCCTGATTTTGTTATGTCCCAACAGCGCTTTCCTCACAAGTAAAGTTGCTCTTTCAGTCCGACCACCTCTGATCTTGGATGTCACTTGTTCTGCACAGTCAGTAATACTAGTTTATTTCAGTTTAATTACACTTTTTTTGAATTTCTGTTAAAATGTTTGAAAGTCCTGCTGCTCATGCAGGCACAGTGAGGTCACAGTTGCGTACAAACAGGGATTTTCTCTCCTTTTAAGACCATGGTGGGATCAGAGAGGATCGTGGTGTCAGAAAGGACATCCTGTTGTCGGAGAACGGTTTCCTCTCGCCATCCCACCCAAAGCCATGGACCAAGGCCTGTTCGGAGAGCTCAGTGTCCAGATCGTTACGCTGCTGAGCCCCTGTGTGCTGCAGTACCCCAATTTGCCTACGGAGCTATCTCGCATGCAAATATCCTTTTGTCTGGTTTAATCGTATTCTGTTTTGATTTCTTTGTAAAGATGAGTATCTGAACCGGTGCATCAAGAAACCTCTTTGTATTCAGTCACACGACAACGGCTTCAACTGTTCTGGTGCAGGATCACGAGTCGGGGAAATCGTTGCCATCCAGCTTCCCTATTAATCAGCTGTGCTTATAGTTACATCATCTTATCCAAATATGACGGTGAACCATAAAGATGAGTTATTTTAGACGACGTGTTCTACCAAATATGGACACAAGGGATCACAAGATTGTGTTAGACCTCTGCTTGTCCCTGTGTGCTAAAGCTGTCCAGTCACAGCTTTAATGGGTTTTCAGTGTCATGAAGTCAGTTGGACAGGAAGTAGTCACATCTGTAGCTCGACTTTTCCATATGGTATACACAAAACAACAAGCAACCTAAATTAGATGTGCGTTTGTCACCACTTTCGAATGTCCTAATGATGTATAGAACAAATACTTCTTACTGGGAATTTAGTCTATTTAATGGCAACCAGTAACAGGAATTGCTGTCTCTTCAGCGATTCCCTTCAGGGAATTTACCTGATGGTGGCAGGCTCCTGTAGCAGTCTGTGTTACAGCAGATTTGTTGAAACATTTGACTAAACACAGTAGGTTTTTCTGTGATTGTCTCATCAAAATGAGGCTCAGCATTGTTCATATTTGTTTTTTATTTAATGTAATCAATAATCATCAATATTATGTTGAATACTGTGAGAAATGGTCTGCATTGACTACAGTTTTAATAAAAACTAAAAATGGTTCACCTTAAATAGCAGCAAAAATACATCTGGCTTCTGATGTTTAGCTGTCAACCTCAGAGCAAAGTTAATCTCAACAACCCCTGAATTGTGTCACTGAAGAATGAGAGAATGTACTTTATCTCACCTTGGAGGTAAAACGTCTGCCAAAATCACTTGGCTTGCAGATTTATTCATAAGTACATAAGTCTTCTTCATCTGCAGGGTCACCACAATCACTCATTGCAGATCCTTCTTTAATGGCAGGAAGTGAGCAAAAAATGCCACACAGCTGATAGGAGCTGAAGTAACATAATGACCAGCTGGATGTTTGTAGAAAATCACATTGCTGTGGATCAGTAACTGAAAATTTAGTTATGAGATTTGGCCTTTCGTCTGAGTTTTTTCTCAGTATTTAGGGGCTTGAATTGTGATAAGATGCTTTGTTTCCTGCTCTATAAATTAGTTTATAGGTTAGGGCACAATTAAAAATGAACTGTGTGCTACATGGTTCAGAGGAAGAGCAGATGTCCCTGGTTTGATTCTCGGCCCAAAGCCATTTACTGCATGCCTTCCTCTTCTCCCCCTTCCCTTATTCCAATCAGCTACCAGTGAATAAAGGCCACTAGTGCAAAAGCATATTTATATTTAAAAAGAAACAAAATTGCTTTCTTTACCAGACTCTAACTTCACATGTCACACAACAGATTCCACTCTCAATATTTAGTAGTTGTTCAATGTTGCCTCAGTTTCTTTAAGGCTTGCAGCCACAGCAGGATTTTCATCATATGGAGGCTGGAACTTGATTCTTTTATCAGTAGTTCTGTTGTAGATTTTTGTTATTGAGTTAACTATAAAGATTCCAACAACTTTTAAAGTCAGCTGAGGCCTGAAGAGTTAAATTATTTATTTAAGACATTGTTGGAATTGACTGTATGTCCCAAATTGACAGTAATTGCCTTTATAAGGTAATTGCTAATACATTTTTACCCTGACATTGTGTGGAAAGATCTGGCTACAAATTCAACATTTGTAGATGTGGAAAGTTTTCTTTCAGCGTCTTAAATAATGTCATCAGAGTTGAAGTGACCAGGAGAAGAGCAACATCTGCTTCGTTATAAAGTGTTTGGCTTTCTAAGGAATAGAAATAAACAAAAATGTATTATTTCATCTCAACCACAAGGTTTCACTAAAAGTTGCCTCAGGTCGTCGTTTTGCTGGTATTGAAACTAATTGTATCTGAAAGTCTTCTCCACCTTACTGTCTGTTTACCTTGTAAAAAGCTTGAAACACATGTTGGCAAATGTATTACTAATGTTTCTTGTAGCCCTTCCAGTTCTTCGATATTCATTCTGCCTACAGCGATAAAGGAACAGTCTGCGCTTCGTTGTGCAGGCCTATGTTTAGACACGCAACGTATGTATGGTGTGTGGTAGACTGGGTGTTTTCCTTTGTTTCCGAAGGGGATTTAGACGTCTGATTTGAATGAATCATCCTTGACTCGCCATGTTTTCAGGTTCTGGTTTTCAGCCCCAGCAACATCCCCGTTTCAGCTCCGTCTGGTTTCTTCCAAACCCTTCCTGTTGCTTTGGACTACCAGCATCTGGGACTGGACAGAATGCACTGCTGCTCCTTCAAAGGTAAACAACCACCACTGCTGGGAGAACAGCATGTACTCACTGCCCAGATGCATTGTGGGTCTTTACCTTGAAGGGCTAGTTTTCCAATAAAAAATCTGGAAATTGAGTTTTGGAAGGTTGAACACTGAATCCCATCTAGTAAAGACTTTCAAAAACAAAGCACAGATTTGTTTTTGTCTTCAGGGACTTGCAAATAAAAACACATATTTAGCTGTGAGAGAATAAGAAAAAGCTCTAATTGATCCCAGAAGCAGATAATTGAAATCAAATGAGAGAAAACAAACAAAAATCAGCAGCCAAGAGAATAAACAATGTTTTCAAATCCACTCCACTGACTTAAAATGTTTGAAATACTATTAGATAAATGTAAATGCTGTTTATTTTCATTAAATGCTTTTTGGAATGTAAAGGTGCGTGTCAACATCTTTGTAACTGTGATAACTTTTTTGTAGTCTCGTTAAAACTGCTGTTTCCATAAAAGCTGGGATTAATTTCTCTAAACTATTTTACTGCAACTTCAACATCACAATAAAAATACCAAGTTGCTGATGTTTAACAATGTTTTCTGTCTTTGGGAGTCATTCGTTCAGGTTAGCGTGACATAATAAATAATGTTGAAAGCTTTATAAGGCATCTTCTTTGTGTTGGTTTCATTTGCTGCATCCGGTAATAAAAATATATAGTCTCATATTAAACAATAAATGTGGAAACTATGACTCGTTGAAGTCATGCTGTCCCCCATCTGGCTCATTCATTTTGATGTGCAAACTTCCTCTCATCTTACGGTCATATTTATCTAAATTAGGATTTAAAAAAAATTGACACATTTCAGAGGAAATGTTCATTATTATCTAATAAGTAACAGTAAATTTGTGTGGGCTTTTCCTACAGTTGATGCTGACTGTAGGAAAAACCTTTGATGTTTAAACCAGGCTAAATTGTTTTATTTTGTCAATGTTTCATTTTGAAAATTTGCCATAAATTTTGTTCATTTAAATGTAATTTTATTCAGAAATTTGATTCAAAAAAGAAAAATCATGTAGATTTACACACTCAGTAACATATTTTCTATCTTTGTCCATTTTTTATGACAATGACTTACAGGAGATGGAAACACAGAATTCAATGGAAACGTTCTGTAATGAGAAAAACTTTTAGGAACAGACCTTTTCTAGAGTATTAGCTTATAAAAAAAAAACTAGTGACTTTGTGTTAATGATGTAAAGCACTTTGAAATGCCTTGCTAAAAATTGAGCCAAAACTGAGACATTTGTGAAGTGAAGTGCATGCTAGAGTTTGTGGGAGTTTCAGAGATGGATTGTGGCTGAAGTTGCTGCTTAAAGAAATGCCACACAACATTTTTATGACTGGCTGAATCTTTCTGATTCCTCCTGCACATCTAAAATATTTGATCTACATGAAGGTACATTATTTCATTTGAACACCAGGGTCTGAATGTGGTGAAAGACAGAAGTTATATTTGCTGAATCCATTTTAGTGTTTTTAAAATCTGATTCATCTTACTGTATGGTCTTAATGAGACAACTTGATGGCGCTGCTGCACTACTTATGAAGTGGCATCAACTGACTGATCAGTGACGTAAAATAACAAATGAACAGGAGTAAATAAACTCAATGTCTTTAAGTTCATTTTAGCAAATGTTATTGTGTATTTTTGCACAGTTCAGACATAATTTCCTCCGAGCAGAAAAGACGGTTTTAATAACATCACTGTAGACAGTGGGGGAGTTAGAAATTACACAACAGCATATATCTGTACATCATTATAATGAGGTTTGTGAGGTTGTCGCTGTTTCGCTAGTTGTCATTTCCTATCAGTCTCAAACTGCAGCTTATTTACCAAGATGGGCCGATAATCGACTCCTTTCACGCATTGTGACAGCTCTGTCTCCATCAGCTAAGCAGCCTCACATGTAACTCATTTCTAAAGTTGTTATTGTGCAATAAAATAAGCTGATTACTCCTACTTTTATGTTTTTGTTGCTATTCTTTTTTTTCTAAATGATGTAGGACCAAAAGATGCAGCTCTTCTCTCTATAAAATACATACTGAGGCCATAAAACCAGAACAATACTGTTAGTTATTTTTTGTAAACATTCATTTCTATATTGCTTTTTAAATGTTCCAGCGTCCCCTGATGATCCTGCGCACAGTGATGGTGTTGTGTTCACTGTGGAGCAGGGAAACTGGGACGATCCAGTGCAGGAACCCAGTCACCTCCCAGTTCAGCAGAGTCTCCTAGTCCTGCTCTTCCTACAATATAGTGACCCCTTCACCTCTGACCTCGCAGATAAAATGGGTGAGAATTTATTACCACCATCATTGCAGCAGATGTGAACATGAAACCCTGAGATGAAAACATTCACCAGTTTTGTTTTCCCCACAGATTGTGAATTGTTGTTAGAGCGCCATCTAGAGGACATTCTGAGCAACAACAGGCAGGCCGTCACATCAGCTATTCAGGCTGAACTTTTCAACACAACGAAGGCTTTAAAAGAAAGAAAAAAGGCAAGAAAGACATTTTTCTGTATTCAGTTCGCAACTTTATGTAAGACTATTGTGCTTACGGGGGGAAATCATTTGACTAAGTCTTTTCTGGTGTCAACCTCATAAGCTTCGGTGTATTTTATGTCACAGATTACCTCCAAACATACATAAACGGGATGTGGAAGTAAAAAGATCCACAGTTTTTATTTATTTACTTATTTACAAATAAAAGTCAAATAAAGTAGTGTGGCATACAGAAGTATCTTTTGTCATAGGTCCAGTTGCAAAGCTTCTGGGGTTTGTCTTTAGCTTCTTTGCATTTCTACAGACTAAATTTTCTTGCTTTTTCAACTTTAAAAAGAGGCAACACATCTCTGAGTTTTAATCCTCAAGTTGTGCCATGTTTGAGTTCTTTATTAAGGGAAACCTCTGCTCTAGTTTTTCTTTTACATCTCTAACAGTTTTGTTTTCCAGAATTGCCTTATATTTACCCCTATAAAACTCTGAAAAACTCAGTTTTCTTCCTACTCTGAGTTTGAAAGAAAAATATCCCCACAGCATGATGCAGCCACCATCTCCTTTCACTGTGGATGTTATGTGCTCTGTGTGTTGCATGTAGACTAAAAGCTTGTGGATCAGTTTAATCATCTTTTTCTTGGTTAGTCACTTAAAAGCCCAATAAAGTACATTGAAGATTTTGCTTTTAAAGTGACAAAATCTAACATGTATTTTTGTGTTTTCTAATTTAAAAAATCAATATATTCTCAAGTTGTATGAAATAAATATGTGTTGTAAGAAACGGGAGAAGCTGCAGTCGGCTGCTGAGGTGATCGTCAGCTCCACCATCAGCATCGTGAGAAGCAGCAGCAACATGGACTTCAGAAGTGCCTGTTTGAAACACATGAAGGTGCTGTCATTTTCTTACTTTAATACATGACATTACTTTAAAATAAAAGGCTGAAAACATACATATCTATGTGTTTGTCAGGTTCATGACACTCATGAGTTATCAGCCTCCCTCAGAGAGTCCCTGTGGAGGATGTCGTCTTGGAAACGGCTCTCTAAAGTCGGGTGCTACTCTGCTCAGGTGAGTTTTGTTTGATTTCTGCCACAATCGGGTTTAAATCTGCGTTTAGCTTCATTTTGCGTCACAATATTGTTCCAACAGGTCGAAGATCAAGCTGCGAGTAATGAGGCCGTCACAGCTGAAATCTGACCGTTTTTTTATTATTCTGGCCAGAAATTTATTTTTTTATTTTTTTTGCTAAAAAGACATGTTTGTACATTGAATATTTAGTGTTTCTAGTACTCTATTAAAGGTATATATTTTACACTACAGTACACGTGAATGTGCCTTGGTTTACTGCTTTACAGTATGTTGAAATTTAAGATAGAGATCTAACTAATCGCAAGAAAGTTTGGTTTAGACTTTTCTGTGATGGTGGCTGCTTTAATAAATGTATGCAAAACATTATCTGCAGTTGAGATTATTTTAGGTTGAAATAAAGTAGAAAAAAATATCAGTGTACCTGCACAAACTGTTGACCTGAAAGTAATTCAGCAGAGAAAGTATCAATGATGGGACTCATCTGAATATGCCTGTAGTTCCAGACTTCCACTTTGGGGTTTTTTTGTTTACTTTTGTAGACAATAATTGTTGAAAATAATTACATCATAATATTTACTATTACATAAACTAATACTTTAATTTCACTTCTCCCATATATATTAAGGGATAATTAAAAAATACATACCCATAAAAAAACATACAGTTTGTTTTACATTTTTAAATGTTTGATTTCTGAATGAACAAAAACATAGAAAACTTTGTCACAAACTGAAGGAGGCAGGGATTTAAATGCACTGATGAAATAATAAGAACTTAATAAGAACTTGAGAACATCAGGGTCCAGACAGAGCTGTGATATAGTTTTTCTTTACTGGTTATTGAACAAAGAAATTGCTTCTGTGAGTCTTTAAATGTGAACATATTTGTAATAAATTATCATGTCAGTTTTTAATTTTTTATTTTCTTCCATTAAATATTCTCTGTCGACATCTAAAATGTTAGATGTTATGTAATCTTTTATTAGATAATTTCTTTGACCGTTGATAGAGAACCTAATGATTTAGAGGCCGGGTTGTAATTGAAAGTCCTCCTCTGCAGTGATGCTCTTACATAATTATTGGCTCTTCACCTGAGTCTTCAGGGTCAGACCCGGCCCACTTACCTGAGCCAGAGCCAATTATTTGCCACCAAGCTGCATAAAAGCAGCGACGTGGAAGAGGAGAATTAAGCAGAGATTCCTGATTCATCTCTACAGCTTCGCTCACACACACCAACATGACAAACCCAGGTGAGTGTTTTCCTCTGCTGGTGCAGTAAGTATCTCATGTTAAAAATTAAACTGGGACATCCTACAGCATTCATTTAAAAATATTTTAATATTTTTTTCACAAATGAATTAGAATGCAAAGTAAAATGTATTTTTGTTTCAGTTTAATATACTTTGATGATTTGCAAATGTTAGTATGTCAAATGTTACAAAGACAGATGAATGTGGAGATAATGATTTATGACTAAATCTTTATGCATATTTCACCATGATGCAGCAGAATAGATAGGATCAAGCTGTTAGCTTCACAGTTACATTTAAAACATTACTCTTCAACTATTCAGAGCTTTGCACAAACTAACATATCTGCTCACCCGTGCTTTTTGCATTTTGTTACATGCACATTGTGAAATTAACAATTTAGAAACAAAAAAATCGTACTTGAAGTATGATGACAGGATTTTTTTTAAACCATGGATCGCCAGGCTTTTAATCTTTGCCAAAGTTTTCAACATTTGTCTCCAGTTTGAACAAATTTTAGCTCAGAATATTTGCAAACACTACTTAAAAATTAAGTACAATTATAGAACCTAAAAAATTAATTCATGCATATTTCTCTGGGTCTTTCTTTAAACGTTTTTTTTAGTCACATACGAGGAACTGAAGGATCTCTTGGCCAAAAGCAAAGATCTGATTCTGATTGATGTCCGTGAGACAGACGAGGTGAACAAAGGACGCATCCCCAGGTCCACTCACATTGCCCGTAAGAACCAATTTATTATAATTTTATTAAATATCCGCGTCTTTTCCTCTCGATGGTCTTTCCAGTGGCTTGTGTGAGTGAACTCGTGTTGTTTCTTTCTCCTCTGTTTTGATCAGTTGGCACTGTCGAAACCGCTTTCAAAATGAGCCCAGATGATTTCCAGGCCACATACGGGATTCCCAAACCTGCAGTGGATGCGCCTGAGCTGGTGTTTTACTGCCGGTCAGGGAAGCGGTCAGCAGAGGCCATCAGCAAAGCCAGAGAACTCGGATATGTGACGTACGTTAATAAGTTTTGTTGACAGTATTGAAGTTCCTCAAGTCGTTACTGAAGACGTCTCCTCTTACCGTCAATGTTTCTCTTCTCATTTTCAGAGCACGTAATTACACCGGCTCTTACCTGGACTGGTCCAGCAGGGAGGGATAAAGATTCACGTCGGAGAAGAGCCTCACACTGTACATTATATTTATACAATTATATAAACTGTAAAAACTTTCTATAAATTGACCATGTTGGTTCTTATAGAACATGTCTCTGAATATGTGTGAATAAGTAACTTGCAAATATTATAAAATTCTTTTTGTTCTTAAAAGTGTTTCTGTGTTTTTACAGACATGTCAGATTCAACATTTCATAAGATATGAAAAGACAGATAAGTGCAACAATTTGCATATTTTGTACATTAATTAAACTTGGGTTGATTTTAACTCATTGGCTCTTCTGGAATCTCAGCTGGAGACATGCGAATCTCCAGCATGAGCCAAACTCATTGTCATTTTGGGTCACTTGAAGATGAGGAATGTCCATGTCATTTTCAAGTTCTTTTTATGTAGCCTTTTAGTGTCTCGACGGCTACATTTACAATTAGCTTGGCTTGATCCTCATTGTTGGCGCTTTCAGCAGCAAATTGGGCCGCAGGCGCCCTGAATGGCAGCCCAAAATACTGCACATTTCTAACAGTGTCAGCAATACCTTCTTCTGGTCTAGAGTAACTAAAAAAAACAACTTTTCTTTGGGTAGTTGCTGAAGTCACTGCAGATGGAAACACCCTACTAAAGACGTTCTGATCCATTCATCTAGCGACTCGGTTATTTCTTCACACTTGCCCATATTTCCTTTTTCTACATCAACTATCAAGTCAAAATGTTAATTTGCTGCTTCTCATTCCACTTGTTAAGAGGCTCCTTCATAACAATGCCATTGGTTGATTGGTTGTAGTCGACCTATCAGTGGTCATAAAGCAATTCTTGATTGATGAAGAGGAGATTTAGTCACAAATGGAACAAACAAATAATACTAGTTGAGGGTTTTTTATTCAGCTCTACTCTTTGTTAAATTATGAGTCTGAATTTTTAAAAATTGGAATCAAAAAAATCAGAAATCACAAAGCTTGTTAATTGTATTTATTAAAGACTGAAAATATTACATTACATTGTTTGTAATCATATCTGAGAAGGGGATGAAGTCAAATTTAACAAGTACAATATTAATGAAAAAATGTATATAAAGTCTAATAGTTTAACATTAGCATCCCTAACTTTTCCAGGTTAGATAGATAATATCAATAAGATTAAGGCAAAGAAAATAGAGCTGGCTTAGATATTCTGTTCAAAGGTTACTGTTAAGGTCACTGCTGTCAGAGGCATTCCTCATATCTGATCAAACAGGAGGGTTAATGTAATAAATGCGATTGGAAATTGATTGTATTCATATTTGTTGGCTCAAAATATTTATCAAAATTGAAATTTGTTCAGTCAAAATCATTTTATTTTGACAATTATTGTATAATTTGTGCTCAATATGTTTTGAATGTGTTAAGAGAGCATTCAAATGAAGCTTTGTGCATTATTCAATAATAAGTTTGATTTTTGTTTTCAAATAAATTATATATAAAAATATTTGCTGAATGATAAATACCATAAAATATCAGGGGGAAAAAAACATAAATGTCAAGTTTCAATATCTTTGGTATTTGGCGTCATACATTTCCTCCAGTTTTTTAAACAAAAGGTTCAACACGGACTCTACAAAACACATTTATTCACAGTATTATTCAAAGCGAAACCTCCTCAGATAACAGAACCCAACAGATTTAAAAATACTCTTGTTGTCGTTTAGGAAGCCAGTGGTTTATAGCTTCAACCCTGATAAAATTTCACTTTTACGTGGCAATTATTTATAAATATAATGTTAGCTTTGCATAATAATTACACAAATATGTTGTGCAACTCATCATTGCTGTTTTTTCTTACATCATTTAATGATAAGCTCAGCCTCCTAAATGATATCTTATCTTTGTTGCTAATAAGTTACAAAACTTCACCTGCCCTGAAAACCCATATTAAGGTCAATTTGATAGGACAAAAAAGTTTGTGCCAATTAATGTGCTAAAAACTGACATTGAAACCTATATTTTGTTCCGCTTCCATGAAAAAGTCGCATTATTTCACGTTGGATGAGCAGACACCACAGCTTTGCGTTAAGACGTCATGTTTTAGATTTGAGTGTTGCATAATATCTACACATACAGATAGGGTCATTTCACCTTTGTTCATTAATATTGGTTTATCTTTCTTTCTGTGTTTCATAACACTTTAATATGCACTCCAATAATTACTCTTCCATAGAGCCAGTTGAATAAAGTTGCTTGAGATACATGAATATCTATGCCGACTGAGGGAAACCTTCAAAAGTGAAAAACATAAACTTTAGCAACGACTGAAAATGTCGAATTGTTTTTTATTAAGTCTTTTATGTGATGAGATAAAAGCCTTTGACCTGTAGATGATGCACAGGATAGATACTAGTCATCATGCGGAAGCAGAGAGTCTGTTTAAATGTGGGTTTATGGAGACTAATATGCTACAAATTTGCTTACAAACTAGATTTATTAGATTCATTTTTGCCCTTTTTATTTGCCACGCCTTTGTTGAACAGATTTGACAAGGTGTTTGAAGCATCCCTCACTTTTTTTTTTCAATCCATATTAACGTGAAAGTGTCACAGAGTCCCTGCAGATTGATCAGCTGCACAGCCATGAATTGAGTCTTAGGTCAAGGTTCTCTGTTTGATTGATGTCTCAGTTCATGGAACCAGTTTGAGCCCAAAATGGATCAACATGGTCAGTAACCCTGCTAATGTAGGCTGTGCCATTTTAAACCTCACTATCGTCAGTAAACCTCACTGACGCAGAGCGATTGATGATCCAGAACATGTTTAAAGATACTTAAATCTCCTTTCTTCCCCATTCTTATCCTTGTTTGAACTTTAGCAAGTTGTCTTCATCATTGATGCCTAAAAACGATAAATTGCTGCAGTGTGGTTGGCTGTTTTGTGTTTTCAAGCAACAAACACGTGATTTGTTTGTTAGTAGCTGTTACCACCCTCCTCATTTAACGACAAAGATCAGATCGAAGAAAAACATTTTCACACAAGTTTGCACATTCCTCTGACGTCTTAATGTTTCGCCGTTGACTTACCTCTAATAAGTTCAAATATCACAGGCGCACTGTTGCAGAAGCTTTTAGGTGTGGTGCTTAATCAATAACCCTGAAACTGAATTTATTGTATCTGACCCTGAAGATAAAACAGGAACATGTCAAACTGATAGAAAAAGGCTGAACCTGCAGTTTTGTGGGCAGGCTTACATTTTCTTCATCTGCAGGTTGCCTATGTACAATAGGTGCCTTTTCATCTGGATCAATTTATGTACGCTGCAGATAGGAGCCCTACTGTGATGTAATAACCAGCAGGTCATTAATAAATAATCAATCATCTTGTCAGGATTTATAAATTCAGGACTCAGTGTTGATCCTCTTCGCTAACTTCTGTTTCAGTTTTAAATGGCTTTTTTGATTTATTTACCTAAATTGAAATAAATGTTCATCAGTCAAAGATGGTAAAATAAAAAATGCATTCTAAAACAAGTGAATAATTTATGTTTAGGCTTTTTACGCACCTTTACTAAGGGAGCATATGTGTCACCTTTAAAAATGTACTAGTAGAACAAGGTTAAGGTTTTTATTGTCTCTTTTATTTAACCACAAAGGTCAAATTAAGATCAAGTTCTCATTTACAACTGTGTCATAAAACTACTGATCCTATCCTTCTTTCTTTTGAGGTAAAATGAAGGCAACATGATTTGCAGTTGAGATCGGGTGGGGAAAATAAGGAAGAATAATTATTCTTCATGTAATTATCACTCTCTGGCAAATCAGAATTAGACACTTTACAATTAAAAATGTTCCAGTGCAGGGTTAAGATGATAGTAACTTAATATATTTGTCTATTTTCAATAGAAGCTGCTTCTTGTGAAACCTATTTGCTGCTACTGTGGCCCAGTGAGTCCTGCTTAGGACACAAGAGCCCTAATTTTGCATTTCTAGATTATTTACCTCAGTGATATGTTTGTTCAGGGAAAACTTGGGTTGAACTCGTGCAACCAAAGTTTTCAAAACTTGGGAATTTCCTTCAAAGTTTTAGAAGGTCTTTGGATAATGTAACAACCACAAAGACCAGTTTTTCTGCCTGATTGATTTAGCTCTAAGAGTTTAGACATGTTGTCTCTCTGAGGGGTGTTTTTGTGCGTTGAGTTGAATTAAATGGCTAATTTTAGTTTATTGTCTCTGTGGCATGACATGTACTGCAGCTCCCATAACATTCCTGAGCCAGAACCACCCTGTTTCTCCCATTTCCCCCCCAGCCAGCAGCTGGGACTGGTAAACACAACCTCTGCTGGGAAAACATGTACTGATAGCCAAGACGCTTTGGAGGTCTTTACCTACAACGGCTGGTTTTCCAATAAAAATCTAAAAATGGGGCTGAAATAGTTTGGGCGTCCACAACGTTTATGTCCGTCTTGTAAAGGTTCTTTGTGACATAATTAAAGACAAAACTTTATTCTCTTGGCTGGAGAGAAATTGGTAGAAGCCAGATGTTTATCTGTGAGAGAAGCTCTTGTCTACCTACAGCTGCAGAAAAAGAACTTGCTTAGTTTATTGCAGAATGAGATAAATAAAAGAGTAAAACCAAACTGTTTGGCGAGAGGTGACATAAACAAAATCATTAAAGCGACAGTAGTGAAAAGAATAGACTGTACCACACGTTTTAGATGTACTTAAAATCTACCTGAATCGAGAGGATTGTGTTCACAAACATTTCAGAGGGAGAAATGTACATTTATGGTTGAGCCCAAAAACTATTCACTCCCCCGGCAGATTTAGCTTTGAAATAATTTTATTCACACACTTGCTTGTGCTAGGAAATGAGAAAGTTTTCTTTCAAAGGACAACAAAACTATATAAAGGGAGTGTAAACCAATAAACCTTTAACAGCATATTTATTTATTTACTATTTGTTAAAAAGGGCAGGTCAGTCAGTTATATTAATGTTTTTCAGGTCATTCTAGGGGTTAATTCATTTTGTTTCCGTGTATTCTGCAACAAAAAGTCCTTTTAAATGTAGAAAAACATCTTGACTTAACATGCAAATAATAATAACAACTTTTACAACTTCTGGCTGCACTTTAATCTAATCAGCCTACTGATTGTATTTATAACAGCTGATTAGAGATAAAATCTGAAGGCATACTTAAAGTTTTTGTTTATAATTCCCAGATAATCAGACCTGCACATGAAGAGCGATGCGACTCAAAGCAGATAATGAGTTGCATCACATAGTGACGACAGAACATTTTACTTAACTCATA